CCGTTCAGAGGCGTTGAGCTCCGTAAAGCCGCATTTGACAGGGTATGCCAGCCACAATCTCATCCATATTGCTGTAAAATATAGCATTCTGTGTAGAATTCAAATAGCTCCGATACATTTTGTGGTCTGTGCCGACTCGTGCATGTGATCCACTCCGTGCTATCGTGTCTCTGGACCGGAGCAGAGTGTGTGTGCGGTGCGGTGGTTAGCGTGACACAGCGCGAAACCAGACTTCTTTTTTTCCTCAATGGAAAGCATTTACACAGTTTGAATCGTTCCCTGTCCCCTATATAGTGCACTATTTGCCATTCACTGTACAGAAAATACTAATTCTGTGGACAAGTGACCGATTTCAGCCGCGGCTTCAGCGTCTATTTTATAGTGTAGGGGGCGGGCGCTTCCGATTCTAGAGAGCATTTGATTGGACAGAAAGTTTGATGAGACGCTGAAGTACGATGTGACGTCAAAAAAAATCATTGAGCCTTTTTGGCGGAAGTGACGAACTGCAAGCTTTGAATGCTTATATCTTCTAAATGAAGATATAAATGAAGATTCACTGTTTTGGAGCACACTGCCTTATAGATAACCTTAAGACTAACATATTGATACTAACACCCAAAAAACTTTAATTTTGATTTCATGGGGACTTTAAATCTAAAATCTTAATGCTGATTGGACAAAAAAAAAAAAAAGGACAATATTTCCTGTAGTTAATTTTGTTAAATAAATTGTGACCAGAAACAGACCACTAAACACATGCGTTCACACCCCAGCTTGAGGAAAATACTGTGAGAAATTTAACATAGCACAGGAATGCAACAGTTATGTAGATCTTCCAATCAACTGCCTGGGTTGCATTTACATTTATACTGATCACTGAAATTGTCACTGTGACTAAAATTGCTTTCTCAGCTGAAGACAGATACAGGTACTGCAGGCCCCTCATATTTCGTGATGCGAGATCAGAGAGGCATGAAATAAAATAAAATAAAATAAAATAAAATGGGAGAAAACCGATGAACATGTGCGTAGTCCGCTTCCATCTGTTATAGGCTCTCCAACAGAATGGAATGGAGGAAAAGATATTTAGCCACTGGTCTTTAATGGCCATTGCACAGAAAAGATGATGTCAGACAGAAGCTTCATCTGTACTTCCTATACGTGTGGATTGTTGTGTGGGATCATTGATTTCCGATGTTGTGAGCTCTGTGGGTTTGGTCATCTTATGCCAACGCTGAGAAGAAAAAAAAACACAATTATCAATTACACTTAAAAATAAAAGTGCTTCACGATGCCATAGAAGAACCTTTTTGTTTAAATAGTTCTGAAAGAACTGTTTCACAAAAGGTTCTTTGTGGTGAAAGAAGGTTCTTCAGAATATAAAAAGGTAAGAAAGAGATGGTTCTTTAAGAACCTTTGACTGAATGGTTCTTTGTGGAACCAAACATGGTTCTTCTGTGGCATCGCTGCGAAGAATCTTTTAAGCAGTGTCCCAATCATTTGATTTTGTAAACTATTCGATACACACCATAATAAAATACTGTAGCGTTAAATAGTTATTTTAGTTATATTAGTATATTGCTACAAATGCAACACCAATGTAAAAACAAAATGTATGCAACTTAAACTGGATACGGAGGAGTCATAAAATAAGCAGGTTAAACTCACAGCACATGCGGTATTTACTGACTATGACTAGAGACGTCAGTCATCAGCTGCGCGCGTGAACACTGCACTTTGCGTGAATCCCGCCGCAACCGTCCTTTGCCAAATGATACTACTATATAACGATTTTATTTTCTGTTCGCTTAGTGTTCATTATAAAACTGTGGGGGGACAGATTATATTATGACCGTTCATCATTGTAAAATAGTTTGTGATCTAGTCAGAAGAAGACGCTGCTTCAATGCATTACAGGCTTGTGACCCGCCAGAACGTAAAACAGAATGTAGCGTTTAGTCGCGCTACACCGCTACTTGCTGGAAAAAGTAGTTAGCTACAGGAAAAGCTACACTGTTTTAAAAGTAGCGTCGCTACTGTAAAGCTACTGAAAAATGTAGTTAAGATAGTAGCGTCACTACTTGTAGCTAGCTACTCCCCAACACTGCTTTTAAGCACCATTATTTTTAAGAGTGTAAGGAAGTTTGTTTGCAAGTTTGCTCAGAAGGAAGGAGGAAAGAAGGAAGTAAGTTCAGTATAAAGTAAGTTAATTTGGGGAGTACATTTGTTCAGAAGTTCAGAAGGAAGGCAGGAAGTATGCAGGTTCGAAAGGAAGGATCTTTGGAGGTACATTTGGAACGTCAGAAGTATGTTTGGAAGCTCAGAAGAAAATGAAGGCAGGAACTACGCAAATTCGAAAGAAAGGATTTTCAAAGGGTTGTTTGCAAGTTTGTTAAAAAGAAAGGAGAAAAGGAAGGAAGGAAGTTTAGAATGAAGAAAGTACATTTGGATATCTGCTCATTTGTTTGGAAGGAAGGAAGTTTTGAAGAAAGTAGGAAGGAAGAGAATTTATAAGGAAGTCAAAGAAGGCAGAAACTTTACAGCCTTTTCAAGGGTTTGTTTGCAAGTTTGTTCAAAAAGAAGGAGGAAAGGGAGGAAGTAAATGTATAAGTTCATTTGAATATTCAAAAGTTTGTTTGGAAATTCATTAGAAAAAAATGAAGGAACTATTCAAGTTTATAAGGAATTAATGTGACATCTGGAAATTCAGAATTTACAGAATTGGAAGGAAGGAAGCTTGCAAGTTCGAAAGAAGGAGGTTTGGACGGAAGTGTAAAGAGGGTTTATGAGGTGGGAAGTGCATTTTTAAGCTGTTTAGAAATTCAAAAGGATGGAAAGTAGGAAGGAAACAGGTCAGGAAGGACACTTGACACAAACATTTGATCAGAAACATTAAATCCGGTCTTGCCTGTCGGATGCTGCCTTTGGTAGTGAAGAACATATAGATGATATATGCAGGTATCAAAACCATGGAAGAGAGGGACATTAGCCAGCCGATGCCCTGACCCCAGGTCGGGTACACATACTTCCCTAGTGTCAGAGGAGTCATTTCTATGGCACTGAACGTGAAAACACCCTACAAACAGAAAACAGAAGTCAAATCAATTATAAGTTCATTGAGGACATGGGCTTTTACTTGCATAGTCAATCACTCGATTCCTCATACAGTTGAATGAAAGGATAAAAGGAGTGACATACTTGTAAAACATTTTTGTTTCTTTAGGGCTTTCATTGAATTTTTTGCATGATATTTTGATTATTAATTGATTGATTATTGAGCTTAAAAAACACATCTTATAGGATTTGGAATTACGTTTAAAGATTTGTATTTTATTTTTAACAATAACAATGTGTTACGTTGGCAGCCTGTAGTCTCTAAGTTTTATTTCATTGCTTGCAGGTGAAGTACTTACCAAACATATTATTGGAGTAAAGTAAATCCAGCAATATTTCCAAAAGCCAAAAGGCCGATAACCAATCATGTCTTCAATATTTGTATAGAATTTCTCTGCACCTAAAGAGAGAGAAGAGATGGATATTTACACTTATCAAGCAAGCTAGATCTAATAGACTCAGTAAGAGCTTCTTCCTTCCACCCTGTCCCAAAACACACTTTTAACAGGGTTCAGGAACCTAGCCTATTTTTTTTTTTTTTTTTTACATGTATGTTGAGGGGACACATTCAATGCTTCATCACTACAATATGGACTTTTCTGGCCACAAAATTCAACTGAAAATGTTCATCTAATTTCATATGTACACAGTAAATCATTGTCTAACATTTTCTACTTGAAGTTTTACCTTTTCATGTCATAGTAAGTGCATTATTGTAACTAGTCACTGTAAAAAATTACTGTGAATTTAACGGTAAAAGACTGTAAAAATGCTACAGCAAAATCCTGTTAAATGGTTAACGGTAAATTCCTCTACTATATACAGTGAAAAACTGTATTGGACATTACATGTATTGGACATTAATTTTACGGTAGTATACCGTTTTTGGAAGTGAAAAAGACTGTATAATTTACAGTGAATAACCGTAAATTGACATTCCCAGAATTCCCTGCGTTACATTTCAAATTTGATGTTTTTTTGGTCATTTGAGTGAACGAGTCACTCGCTCATACAGAAACAAGGTGGTTACATATTGATGGTCATAATATGTCGGAGGTTCAGGCTTTTTATTCCAAACGGGCTGGTTTCTATTATGCTAATGAGTAATGCTTTGCTCAGCCATGCAAGTGACAGATATCTGGCCATTTAGCCATGTGCTTTTTGATCATGGATACCATCAATGAAAATAACGGCCTTGTCCTGTCCAAGTTTCTAAATGACAAATTTTATTGTACGCAATTAACAGCGTAGGTTTCCTTTGATCGCTTGTCTAGATGTCCAAGCAGCTTAGAACCTCAGAGAAGCATCGCTGCAGAGGTTTGGACGATGTGCAAAACAGCACTGGTTCAAGATTCAGTGGTTCATTCAACCTCTTCTTCAGTCTTTATACGTAGGACTGCAGCTAAAAACTCTGAGAGCCCCGAGTGCATTTTTGCTGTATGCTTGTGTTTACATTCATGATCCTAAACCAGTTATGCTTATTAACCTTAGCACTTTAAATTGTGTTACTTTATCAGGTAAAGGACCCAAACTGTAAATTCTGAGGAAAAACTGACAAAAGCCCGGTAATGGTTTATTATGGGAATGTAAGCTATTTTCAGGATTTACAGGGGCTAGTCAGTGATTTTATTGCTGCCTGAATCCAAAATGTCAGAGTTTTTCTCCCACCACCCACATAAAAATCCCCGGCTGAATTACCTACACTGTAAAAAATGACTGTGAATTTAATGGTAAAAGACTGTAAAAATGCTACAGTAAAAACCTGTTAAATGGTTAACGGTAAATTCCCCTACTATATACGGTGAAAAACTGTATTGGACATTACATGTATTGGACATTAATTTTACGGTAGTATACCGTTTTTGGAAGTGAAAAATACCGTATAATTTACAGTGAATAACCGTAAATTGACATTCCCAGAATTCCCTGCGTTACATTTCAAATTTGATGTTTTTTTGTTGAAATAACTATGTTTCTTCTTAGTTTTTTCTTATCAGTTTTGTATATTAGGGTTGTGTGTTACACCTAATGTTGTTAAATTAATGTTTATTGCATTATTTAAGTTTAATGTGTGTTGCCATGATGGTGTTTAGTGTTTGTGTGAATGACATTGTGTACCTTCTATATATGTTATTATTTAAAAGCTGCTTGTGATGGGCTTTGGTTCATCATGTGACTTTCTCATCACCACCTGCATTTGGTGGTTATCAGTGTATTACAAAGGTGCAAAACAGATTTCAGTACTTCAATAGGTTGGTATATTAACATTATATCAGTTAATGAAATTACGGTATTTAACTGTAAATTTAAGTTAAAACCGTAAAATATAAAACGTTGCTACCATATTTTTTACGGTAAAATTCCGGCAACCACAGCTGCCGTTTTTTTACCGTAAATTTTATGGAATTTTTTTTACAGTGTATTGTAACTACTGTGTTTATAAACTATTGGTACAAGGCAAAATTACTTGAAAACTTTTGACACTACTTGAGAACAGGAAGGAATCATATGGGAAAGTTAATGTAACTGGATGAAGGTCGGCTTGAACTCTTCAGATTTCATAAACTTCACATCACATTCACATCAAATATATTCGTCTCCTTGTCTCAAATATGTTTATAGTACAGGAGATGTACCGTAAAACCAGGAAATGGAGATTGTCTCAAAAAAGACCAGGAACAGGAGACACATTCCACTGGCCGAGTAGTAGTCAAACAATTTGAACACATATAAACCACCCTAAAACAAAGAACACACACACATTAGAAACTGAAGAAAGCAGTCAGTCGTCCCACTCAATAAAACAGCTTTTTAGGCATCTTACCTGTGTGATGTTGGAGAAACCGATGATGAAGGATATAATACAGACCATGAGGATAAAGAGTTTCTTTCTCTTCCTCAAGACTGTGGGATATTCATCCATTAGAGCAGTTATGAAGCCTTCCACTGTACAAAACTGTCACAGACAAGTGTAAAAATTATAAAATAAAAAGTGTTAAAGTGAAATCACATTGCTTTAGAACTAGGGTATAGAAAAAAAAAACATTAAAATAACCCTAAAACTATATTATTGTTCATTCATTATCTTGTTTTTTTTTAAGTAATCATTTATGTTATAAAATTGTGTCATTTTGCTTTAAGATTCAAAGATCAAAACATATGGTTTTACAACTGGAGTAGTTTATGATATTCATGGAGGTACTTATTTTTAATACACCTAAACATGACAGATAATTGATTGTAGTTTTTATGTTTTCACATGTTCTCTAACATGTTAGCTAAAATGCTTTCATGGACTCATTTTAATGTGCTAAATTCTCTTGTGATCTTCTTCGGCTTTACTTTTCACCTACCTAACACAACAAAACTAAAGTAACACCACATGCATAATTTATAACTTGTTTAGTTTTAATCATTAAAAAATCATTACGCTCTGAAATCTATAGAAGAATAATGGTGCAATGCTGCTAAATGTAGCACCATTAGAGGAATATCGTGGGTTCAATACAAGCTCTATCAATAACTCCATAGTCTCTGAGGCATCATGTCAACTACTACAAGCAATAATTTAGACTCTTCAAATAGATTGTAAAATAAAAATAATATTAATAATTCAATTTACAAAGGTTTTTTTATTTACTCTCGACAATGTGTAATACCTGACTGTCCAATCCCAGCATCATGAGCATTGAGAAGAAGAGAATAGCCCAGAGAGAAGACATGGGAAGCTGTGTGACAGCTTGTGGATAGGCCAGAAATGCCAAACCAGGACCTGATATTTAAACCATTAAACATAAGTGTCAAGATGAATCCTTTCAACATATCACTATAATATTACTCATATATGACTTTAATTAAAGTACATTTTAAATTTGACTGAAATAGACTGAAGTACTAAAGCATATATAAAGTACTTTACATATCATTTCAACAAATGTTGTATCCAATATTACATTTAAAATGTACTAAATTGCTACTCCATCATTACGATATTTAAATGCATGACATGCATTCAGCAGTACACTCTAACCATATTTCAAAGACAATAGAAGTAGCTATGAAATTATATGTAAAGATGTACTTTAAGTCTTACTTTAGTCAAAAAGGCACTCTACAGTTTGGCTAATAGTAATGTAATGTAATAGTAATTTAAACTATAATCGTTTTAATTTAATTGTTTTTAATATGCAATTAAGTGACATTACATTCAGTTAAAGCATTACAGAAAAAAACAACCTGGTCTCATAAAAATACGTACCTCTGTGCACTCTGTGCACACGGAATCGATGGATGTAACGTCTGTAGTTGACGGTAAATTTTTGTTTAAATTGATAGTTTAGTTGTCCTATAAACTTAAATTGGTCATGTTCTTGTTACGCAGCTAGTTAATGAAATCCAAGTAAAAAAATGCTATAATTTTTGCACCTATAGGTGAAAAATCTTTTGATTTGCCATGTTGCATGTTTTAAAAATATTAAAAAACGCAAAACACACCTGATGCGAATTCTTTGCTCTTCATTTTCTATAAGCAGAGTTAACAGACCCTGTTGTATTTTCTTGTAATTTATTAAAAGAAGGTACACCGCCATCTTGTGCCGACTAAACTGACTTGAACGCACCTGATGTCGTAATTACGACTTGTCAACTCGTAAGTACGAACGGCCCAGGAGGACTTGAATGCAGCATAACATTCAAAAGCATTAGTTTTCAAATCTCCCAGCTTATTAATATTGTTTTGAAGTCATAACATGATATTCTTCAAGTAATTGTGCGAAAATTACGCTTTATTAATCGAAACTCTGTAAATTTGTGTGAAAAGGAATAAAAGGTGTCGGAGTTTTACTGCCTCTAGTGTTCATTTATTTTGGAAACTGCAGTGATATGTACTTATTGGTACGTATTTCGCGTCTCGCTAAAAAGTGCACCCAGGTACATTTATGCCATGAGACCAGGTAGGAAAAAAAGTGTATTATTTCCATAATAAGTAAAAGTATGTTAAAACGTTTGCAACAATGAAATTCGGTAATGTCTAAGAGACACAATGACCTGAAGCAGCCAATTCTTCAATGGGTCTCTTTGTGATGTACGACATGAAGCCCACAATGGAAAATATGACAATCCCAGCAAACATACTGGTGCAGGAGTTTATACAGCACACAATGATAGAATCTCTATAGAAGGAAAAAGAATCAGATAAACTGAAGCACAGGGAAACAGTAGTAAACTGAAAAGAATTTCATAGAAAAGGCACTGTGTTAAAGACAGTTTGCACATCAGATTGTATGGCATGTAAACATCGTCAATACAGAATTTCTGTACATTTGGACAGAAACTAGTAGCTCTTACCTGTAGACGTTATTGTTGTAGGAGTTGTAGCTGCCCAGAGCAATAAGAGAACCTAAACCTAGACCATAAGAGAAGAAGATTTGCGTGGCAGCATCCAACCACACCTGAGAAGAAACGTATGATAAGAAATATTGATAGTAACAAAAAAAAATGTCAATGCATGATGCCATTATTGTTAGTAACATGCATTTTCATGAGTTTAAGAGTGAAACCTTGGATGATACAGCACAAATAATAATTTAAAAAAGTCTCATTCTGCCAAACTCTTGCGAAATTCGTGTAGGATAAACATGTTGCACATGTTTTTCAGAGAACTATCTAGACACACAGACCCAACCTACAATAGCAGGTACCATCTTTACATAAAAAAAAAATCACTGGTTGCATAAATCAAAAGTTTTATAAAGAGGATATATTATTACTAAATTTAAAATAACATACTAGCATACTACTCGTTGTATATGGCAGAAATAGTAAGATTAGTATGCTATTCAGAATTTAGCCAGTATCTTTATTTCGTTTTTAAAAATGCCAAAAGTAGTATTTTAGGTGTAGAGTTAATAATAAAGGGCTACTTCAGTCATGAAACTCTAGATGCTGCAGGCTGATGCATCTATACGTGCATCTGCTAGCAATCGCATAATTTATTACAAGGCACAAGCTGATTGACCTCTGCTGATTCTGCAAACAATGTGCTTGCTTGTAAGCTAGTTCTGCAGTACATTATTGATTTACTCTGAAACCCTCCACCTCCCCCAGCTCCACCTGTATAGCCCTCTATAGGACTAATTGTGAATTTACAGCTTTAAAAAAATAATTGACTTTATATTTGACATATATTTAGGAGTAAAATCATTTTCCAAATTTGTTTTCTTCATCTGACCTTTGACCTTTTTTTAGGGATCCGTCATTTATAACTGACGTTGTCCCATTAGGGTAAATTATTTTTGGCAAATTGTCTGAAACTTCACACACAATCAAATGCTTTTTCACTATCTGGAAAGAAGTGAAAAGGCCTTACTGTTTCAAAAAACATTAAAAATCTTTATGAACATTCAAATTTTTTTTTTTGTGCTGCTTTATTTGATTTGGAACTCGCACGTGGAAATGTCTAAAACTTGACACAAATTCGGATGCAATTTCACTGCCTGAAAACCATGTCTTAGTGTTTCAAAAGCATTAAAACAACTTTAACATTGTGTTTCATCTTGGAATTTCATATCAATTATCGTAGCACAAGTGAAAGTCAACAAGACTCTTCTTTTTCAGTGTACCCCACACATAAGTAGATGTTCACTTGTGCAGTCATGAATGGAGCATCGCTGCCTGTCAGTATAGTAATGTCAATAGACACTGGCATCTTTCCTGACCTCTGGTTGTTGTATGGATCACATCGTTCAAGCTGGCATACAATAATGTACCCAAATGCCTGACTTCCACAACAACCTATTCTTCATCACTGCCTTCACCCTCATTGCTTCTATCCTCCTTGGTCCTCAACAACTTCTTTTATTACTACAACTTGATTTTCTGATGCCCTCCTATCACTATCATCAATACTTTCTGAAATAAGTACAGAGTTGTCTCTCCATCTTCCAAAAATCTTACAAAAATGAACCTAAAACACACGCATAAAGGCTATTATGCTGCCCGCCAATGCTGGTCAATAGAGCCAGCTACACTAAATATGCATCACATAATAGGACTTTGTCAGTTATGCATGACGCTTAGATTTGTTGGTGTCTGAATTTTTATAAAAGTGCATTAAAAATGCCAAAAAAAAAACTTTTAGAAAACACATTTGGATGTACAGTTATATTTTTTTATAACTTGAATTTATATGTATTTTCTAGTCTAAAATGAGCTCACT